GTAGTGTTTTGTAGTTTTCTTTGTATAGGTCTTTTACATCCCTGGTTAGATTTATTCCTAAGTATTTTATTTTTTTAGGGGCTATGGTAAATGGTATTGCTTTCCTGATTTCCTTTTCATCATTCTCTTTATTGGTGTAAAGGAATCCAACCGATTTTTGTATGTTTATCTTGTATTCTGCTACTCTGCTGAATTTTTCTATTAGTTCCAGTAGTTTTCTCGTGGAATCTTTAGTGTTTTCTATGTATAGTATCATATCATCTGCAAACAGGTACAGTTTAACTTCTTCATTATCAATTTGGACGCCCTTTATTTCTTTTTCTTGCCTTATTGCTCTAGCTAGGACTTCCAGCACAATGTTAAATAGGAGTGGTGATAAAGGGCACCCTTGTCTTGTTCCTGTTCTCAAGGGGGATGTTTTCAGCCTGTCTCCATTAAAAATAATGTTGGCTGTTGGTTTTGCATAGATGCCCTTTATTATGTTGAGAAATTTGCCTTCCATACCTATTTTATTGAGAGTTTTTATCAGGAATGGGTGTTGGACTTTGTCAAATGCCTTTTGTCTAATGCCTTTTCTGCGTCAGTTGAGATGATCAGTGATTCTTTTCTTTCCTTTCATTTATGTGGTGGATTACATTGATTGGTTTTCTAATGTTGTACCATCCTTGCATACCTGGTATGAATCCTACTTGGTCGTGGTGTATTATTTTTTTGATATGATGCTGAATTCTGTTGGCTAAAATTTTGTTGAGAATTTTTGCATCTATATTCATGAGAGATATTGGTCTGTAATTTTCTTTTTTTGTGGCATCTTTGCCTGGTTTTAGTATCAGCATTATGCTGGCTTCATTAAAATGAATTCAGAAATATGCCTTCCTTTTCTATGTTCTGAAATAGTTTGAGTAGTACTAGTATAAGCTCTTCTCTGAATGAACATTCCTTAATTTCTTAACAGTACATTAATCCACTTAAGATTGTCTTAACAAATATTTTATCCAGAAGTTTTAGTTGCTTTTAAGGGGAGAGTCAATCAAAGAACCTACCCAGCCGTATTTCCATATTTCTAGAAAACCAGAAAATGGTGTTTAAAAAAAAAGAAAAGAAAAAAGACAGATTATGGTACTGTAAAATGAGGAGGAAAATGGATGGAATTTAAAAAGAAGGGGCAAAAAATCCAAAGAAGAAATAGGCCAGCAAAGCCGTTGGAATATGTCTGATTTTTTACCTGATAGCATAGGTAATTCTCTCTTGACCCAGGAATTTACAAAGTCTTCTCCCTGAGGAAAATCAAAATTCAAGTGATTGACTGTTTGACTTATAAACTACATACCTATCAATGAACAAAAACTGAAAGAATTTCCAAAAAAGAAAAAGAAAGAAAAGTTTCATTAGATGGAGTAGCAGGATTATTGGAGAATCATTCCTTTAATGTTGATTTCCATTAATGTTAGAATTTTGTTTATGTAATGCAAAAAAAAAAAAAAATTTTTTTTTTGTGAATATTTACCTAGACTCTAGAAAAAACAGGCCTTCTCAGCATCACTGTTTCCAGAGACCCAGCTCAAAAACAGAAATGAATTTAGATATCACAGATGTACTTTGACTGATGAGAAATGAGAGACAGAAGAAGGAAAATGGATTCAGAAGGACCTTAAGTATATTAAGCAACTGATCCTTCTCTGATAGTTGCATCCGGATTTCTTCCTGAGGAAGTGCCTCTCCCCAACTCTCAGACCATGTTCTCTGAGTGAGGGCCTATCAGCCTGCAGGGCTCTGGTCTTCTGAGTCAATTTAGCCAATAAAGTTCCTTTTTTGCATTAGCCAATTTGGGTTGGGTTTCCGCTTGCTTGCCACTGAGGAAATCCTTACTGATACAAGATAAAGTAACCAGCTCAGAGGCACCAGCTGAGATGTGCTGTGGGTGATGGTGGCGTTGGTCAAAAGATCTCATCCAGACATTCAGTGGGGCACCTTGAGGAGGTAGCCTCAGTCAGAGAGGGGAAGACTAGCAGGAATGGCAGACAGAACTCATCAAAAGCCAGCCCTGGAAAAAGAAATTCTAAGGGCTCTAGCTTAGGAAGAAAATATGATTTTTTTTTTCCCACTGTACCAGATCAGAGGTGGGGGAGGGGAAGGATGAAAGGAGAAGGGAAGAAGAAAGAAGTAGAGCCCATGAGAAAGAAAAATGCCTTCCTCCTTCTAAGTCACGTATTACTAGGTAGTCAAAATTACCGTTACGTCAAAAAATCCCTTGTAGCTTTGAATGTACTGGGCAATTTCCTCTGAGGATTTCTTACTCTGAAGAAATTCACATCTGTAATTATAAACATAATTAAAATTTACCCCAATACTGTGATAGAAATGTCTTATATCATAACTGTGTTTGTGGCCATACAATGAACATTTGTTAAAAGTTACTGAATTGAACACTTAAAATTGGTGAATTTTATTATAGTTTAATAAAACTGTCAAAAATTTACCCCAAAATTTATTTATGAGAATTATTGTTATTCTCATATAATTATTCTTTATTTCCATTAGTGACAACGTGTGTTAACTTAAAATGAAATCTTCAGATTATCTTCTCTCTTCAAACAAAACGTAATACAATCAAAGACTGATATACAGTAGCATAGAAGCTAAAGTTTTTTGTTTGTTGGTTGAATTTTGTTGTTGTTATTCTTTCTATGTTTCCATATGTGAAATTCTTTCTATGTTTGAAATTCTAAGTCAAGGCAAAGAGAATGATAAGGAATGCTACAAATAAGCTGTGGTGACTATATCTACTTCCTATGGTCATATGAAAGTTACTGGCAGTAAAGATAACTATATAAAAATAGTAATAATATATTTCATCTACTGAACAAAATATATCACCACCCTTAAAAGACGGAAATTAATTTATAAATTTTGAATTTTTTAAAGAGCATATTGAGTATCATTTTTTAAAAATGCATTCCTTTCCCACAAAAGAGATGCAGTTTTTAAATTAACTTTAAAAAAAATCCTCTAATTCAAATTTAAGTTTCCTTTCTAGTGGTAGTATAGTAATGAGTGGACAGGGAGTCAAGAGGCCATAGCTAGTTCCAGCTCTGCTACTAATGAGGATGTGACCAGCCTCATAATCACAAGGACAAATGGACTTCATTAGATGATCCACGCATTTCCTCCAGACTACCGCTCCAGCCAGACTCCCCAGTCGTCAGGTACACAAATCCTTTCAGAGATTGCCCTGAATCTGCACAGATCCCAGGTAGCAGAGAGACAGAGACACACACACACACACACACACACACACACACACACAGAGGGAGGGACTGAGAGAGGCATGGAGGGAGGGAGAGACATCTACAAATTAAAAACCTTAAGAGACATATCAACTAAATGTAATGTGTGGACCTTGTTTGGATCCTGATTCAAATTAACCAATGGGGAAGAGGGGGAGAGAAACAGAGAGGATGAGAATTGTGGACATTTGACAGCTGATATTTGGTGACAGTAAGGAATTACCGTTAACCTTCTTTTAGGAGAGATAATGGTACTGTAGTTATTTTTTTAAATATATTCTTATATTTTAAAGTTATATACTAAAACATGAAGGAGCTCTGGTGATGTAATGGTTAAGAACTCTGATGCTAACCAAAAGGTTGGCAGTTCGAACCCACCAGCTGCTCTATGGGAGAAAAGACCTGGATCTGCTCCCCTAAATATTACAGCCTAGACAACCCTATAAGGCAGTTCTAGTCTGTCACACAGGGTGGCTGTGAGTCAGAATCAACTCGATGGCACACAACAACATACTAAAATATTAACAAATGAAATTATATTTTCTCTGAGATTTGCTTTAAAATAATTATCTGATTATTATTATTATTTCAAAGGGAAAAGGTGGGTGGGAGATGGATGAAGTATGAGTTCTCATATGGATAAATGTTTATTATACTATTCTCTCTATTGTGTATATTTGCAATTGTCCATAATAAAAGTTTAAAAAATTGTTAAAAGAACAATGCATTCAGTAAAAACAAAGAAATTCATACAGAAAATACTAGCCAATATAGCATTGAAAAGTATTAAAATAAAGTTAATCACTTCATTATCTAAGCAGGGAACTAAAAACCATTGCAATAATAAAAAGTCTTACCGAATTTTTGAAGTAAAACATCATTGTCATTTGTGATATATTCAACAGTACATGAAACCATCTGAAATAATGTTTTAAACATTGTATTTACATTTTCAAACTTCTTTTATATACTATCCTCTCCCTATGCTAATTATTTTTATGTTAGTTAAGGCGGATCCTGAAACTTCTACTTGACAAAACATACTTAACGTATTTGGGAGTGATAAAACAATGTTTTAAAAGCTGTTTAAAATTATATGATTCAAACTCTTCACAATTGCACTCAGACCTTTCCTGCTTGAATAAATTCTGGGGTAGTCGAGTTTTGGAGAGGGAAAGATCAAAACTGTAGGTACTAGACTTCCGGGCAACACGGTGATATAGTCAAAAGCACCATGCTGTCCCTCCACACAAAGATCAGAAAAACTAAGTCAACCAGAGTCACATGTCAATCCTGAAACTGTACACATCAAATGAAGAGATAAAGAACTCAGCCAAGCACTGAATGGAATAAGACACTGACTGAGAACAGAGAGTAAGGACAGATATGTGTAGAGATCCCCTATCAGCTACCGCAGCACGGATCCGCCATCTTCGACTCCTATCAGAGATCAGTGAACAGGGGGTATGAGAAAGCAGCTTCGCAGAGTTTCCATGAGGAGACAGAACAACTGGTAACCAGCGACACAGGCTTTCCCACCTCCCACCCTTCTTCACCCCCATTTAACCTCCTCTGCTTCCTGCAGCCACAGTCTCTTTGCTGGGAAGCACCCCAGTGTTGCTTGGATTCCACCCACCTGCACTGGCCAGCTCCAAGTGCCTTTTGTTGGCTGGTAGTGTTGCTTTTTTCCGCTTCTTTAGATTTCTTCCTTACCTCTCACCACCTCCCCCTCCTTTCTCTCAAATACCTGGCTCCATGCGCCATCTTTGCTTCTTCCTGAAAGGCTGTGAAACACTGCTTGACTGTGAAACTGCTTCTCAGCCCATGCCACCACGCTGGTAGGACCCCCAGGGCTTTTTTTGTCTGTTTGTTTGCTCTGATTTGTTCCGTTTGATTTGTTTGTTTTCTTTTTCTTTTCTCAGCTTCGGAGCCTCTTCTAGCCAGGCAGTACCATGTAGCTTGGAAGCTACTGCCTTACTCTGCACAGACCCACAAGGACATCCCTGGGGGCATTTCTTTTTTCTTGTTTTTTGGGGCTTTTTGTTTGTTTTTTTTGGGTTTTCTGTTTCTTTGTTTTGTTTTCTTCTCTATCTTATTCCTTTTTTGTCTTTCTTCATTTCCAGTTTCTTGATTTATTCATTTTTTTCTTTTACCCTTTTTCTTTCTTTTCATTTTGTTTTTCCTCATTTCTTGGTCTTTCATCTCTCCACTCCAATAGCAATCTCCCTTAGCACTCTTTTTTGTTTGTGTGTATGTTTTTGGCTCCTGTTCCTCTCCCCTCTCTCTCATCTTTCCCATACCCATCTTAGCTCCACACATCACAATCTATCCCCTCCTTCCTGCCTACCTGCACCGTGTGCTGAACATCACAGTCCCAAGCAGCACAGGCACAGCCTATTGGAAGCTGCCCTGCACTGATTCCCAGTCCACACTGTCAGCGCTGGTACGTGCCACAAACAATCCATCCTAGCAACTCCCCTTCAGCTGGACCTGCCCTGCTGTACCATATCTGAGTACCTGACCCTGCCCATTGGAGAGGGAGGTGAAAAGTATCGTGCCCACAGATGAGCAAACAACAAAGAACGCACAGCCAGCCTGCTCAGACGTAACCAAATAAAACAAAAAAGCAGGACAAAACAAACAAATCTACAATCAGTAAATGAGGAAAATAACCACTGAATGCCCCGAAGACAGCAGACAATATCAAAACACTTACAAAAACAGGGCAGGATGGTTCTAGTAGGCATCCAAAATAAAACATCAGATGACCTTCCAGTAGAAGAAAAGGCACTAGACCTAACTGATAAGAGAATTCAAATCTCTAATATTCAGAATTATCCAAGAGTTGAAGCAAAAAACAGACAAAAATGAGGAAAAAATAGACAAATTCATGGAAAATACAGGCAAAAAAAAAGGAAGAATTCAA